TTATGACCAGATCTAATCATAAAAGGATTAAGCAGTTGCACATTTAGTATAAAGTGTGCACGTTTTATACCTAGTTCATGCCCTGATTTATTAAAGTTCTGAATATTGAAAATACAACAATTTTCCAATTACCTTTGTATGAGATGATAAACAATGCATTAAAATCTAAAATTAAAAGGTAAAAAAAAAATCTGTGAAAGTTGTTTCTATTTCCTCTCTTGCCAGCAGGTGTAGCTGTAGTGCAACGAAGGACTTTCCAAGGCATTTTCTTCAACTGCATCCAAGATAAATTATTGCATCATTCCCTGTTTTTATTTTTCATTTTATTGAAAGCCTTAATTTCCCTAGTAAGATTTATTTTATGAAAGGATACCTAATGATAATGGATGTCATTATGCTCTGACTCTGAAGATCCTAGGCTATCTAAGGCAATCAGAACACCTACAGTTATTCTTTCCATTCTAACATTTGTGCCAACAATGTTGATGACTAATCCCTTTAGGGGCTGGGCTGGGGACCATTCCAATTTTCTCTCATTACCTTTTGGTTTAAACAGCTGTTGTAATCATCATGACTCATAATGTAGCTACTGAATATGATTGCTAAAACATTTCAAACTATTTTTTTCATAATCCTACCTCCATCTGACAGATGGTCAAGTTGAAGAACACCAGATCGTCCTTTCTTATGTTCTGTATTTTACCAAGCATCGCTTCTTGTAAGACACCTTTTCAGGTTCAGCTGGGGATAAGTGCATGAGATCTCTTTGCTGAAGTTATTTTCCTTGATCATTTTAGAATAGTTTACAGCTCAAAAACAAAATTTCATGAAGCTTCTTCTCACTATTTCCTACACTAGAAGATGCATACTAGATGTAAGACTGGACTCACATCTGCTAAATGCTTGTCTTTTTCGTTTAAGGTCACCTTCACATGCAGCCTTTGTACCATTCTTGGATGGCATCACATCTCTGCAAGGCTACTTCATAATTCTCACTTGGTATCTGAGATGACTGAAAGACTTGGGGACGTGATTTTGGACGGGAATGTCATAGTCCAGCAGAGCCCAGGTTTCTACTGGTTGACCTCCTTTCTCAGCTGCCTCCCAGGTTCTCTTCCTTGTCCCAATAAAGCTTCATCTATGCCACATCATCTTTGCAACTTAGCAGAGAAGCAAGCAGCTCTTACACACCCGATAGTGACTCTCCAATCTTTCCTCAAATCAAAGAACAGCAGAACATGAACAGCAGGTGTAAAGAATGTGGGGTGCCAAGCTCTAATTTCTGCTCAAGGAAATGCTGATCAGCTCTCCTGAATTCTTAGCATTTCAATTCAGCAGCAATGAGGATCCCTTTGAGGCAGTCGGGACCTTTTTCCGAAGGCTTTGGGGAATGAAAACTGTATGTCAAGACAATCAAATTGTGTTTTCATCAGAGCAGCTAAAGGATCAGCTGTATTTTTTTAGAAATATATGCTGATGGCTCTGAGCAACGAAAGTTACCTCTTCCCCAGAGCATTATTACTTTCATAATGTTTACTACTTCAGAGAACAATACAACAATTTAACAGATCCAAATTCTATTTATGAAATACAAAGTGAACTTCCAACACTCCTAAAGTTCTTACTGGTGAAAATGCTTCTTTTTCTTTTCAGACCTGGCTAAAAAAAATTAACCCTTTTTTTACATTTTTTTCTCATATCAGTTCTTCTAAATAGCTAATCTATGATGATGTAATCTGTTAATTGGCTCTTAATTCCTTAAGGAAGCACTGCCTGTGTCTTTTGTATGATATTTCTGGTGTGCAGTTGGGTCTGCTAGTTTGCCTACCCATTTGGGGCAAACAACATTTACTTCCAAAGCAGCACCTGTGGCTAATTATCACAATCTATGTGTTAGGTGTAAAAACCTCGCATGCAAACATCTCATTCTTTTTTATTTTAGATTCACAGGACAAATAAAAACACATGCTGCACTAATAACATAGCCATGTGCAGAGTTAAATGCAGTGCAATCTTCCAGGTGCTGCTCAACCACACTTTCCAGAATCTCCATCCATTGTAATCTTTGGCGAAGGATGCTGGGATTTGCAGGTTAACATCTAAAGCAGAGGTGTCAAACTCACAATGACATGGCGTTGTGATGTATTGCAACTTTTTTTCCTTTCGCTAAATGACTCCACTGGGCGTGGTCAGTGCATGACGCATCTAGCCCACGGGCCACGAGTTTGACACCCCTGATTTAAAGCACCACAGGCTTTTCACCCTTAATCAGACTTGTGCACAAATTATGGTTATGATTTGATAGTGAGGAAAATCCTGCATTAGTGCGTAAAAGTGGTGTACCCAGAATTTAAGGATAATTCTTTCTGTCTGTTCCTGAATCCTATCTGATTTTTCTCTATTTTTTGCAGTAACTTCACCTTTGCAATTATTTTACAATTGCACCTACACACACTCACATTACCATGTAGCAAGGACATTTCTAGGTGACATTATTCTGTTATTCTGCCAAGTTTTATTTGTATGGGCCAATTAAAAAAATAAATGTACAAATGTATTTGAATTAAAAAATATACAGAAGGAGCATGCCACTGTGGTTTTTTGAGATTTAAAAAATTATTCTTTGTCCTACAATTCTCCAACTAATATGCTCTATTCAGTTTCCTGACATCAAAAGAAACTGTAAACCCCCGTAGACAATGTTGTTTAATATGATCTTATAGAAAATCAACATTATTGTTTAAGTAGCCAAACCAATCAGTGATAGTTTCAAACTCTATTCAAATAAAAATATCTCTTTGCAACGTGACTAATAATCATTGATAATGGAGCTAGAAGAAATCTATTGGAGGTTGTTTTTAATCTCTCTTTGTCTTGCTGCAGGTTTTTGCTACTATGTCAACATTTGAAAAATGTGGCAAAAATATTGCTCAAGATAACAGAAGTGGACACATGTTCCTTCCCACATTTCAGAGAACCAGAGAAGAATTAGAGAAATTCAATATTGGACAGAAAATGTATCCTAATGGTTCATCCCCACAGATTACAGAAACTCAGTGCTTATCAAATTATACCAGGTTAGACTTAGAATAATTTGAGAATAGAATATTCTAATGTTCTTATATATGACTCAGTGTCATTGCTATGAGATGGAGAAGCATATAAAAAGAAAAAAAAAACAAATTCTGCAAATAGATGTTTTTCATAAGCTTTTTATTTGCAGAATAGCAGCTCGAATCTTTCAGCCCCAGTTATATTCTTCTGAGAACTATATAATTACTGCTAATAAATGTTTAAACCTTTGCAAGCAGTTGCTAGACAAAAAATATTGTATTGCTGGCAATTCCCCCCCTCTCTAAGGGCTGCTACAAAATTCAAAATTCAATTCTTGTTTTAAAAGAGAATTTTGAACCAAGTATTGGTAACTACAGCTACCAGATCTGGGCAATCAAAATACAGATGGCCACTAGATGATATCAAAAGAAAACAGAATTTTCTTACTCTTTGTTGCCATCTAGTTGTTCTGTCCTAGGTTCCCCAAAAAGCACTAAGCCAACTCTGAATCCCGGCAAAACCTCTTTTATTAAATAAATGTGAATTTAGTGCATTCACATTCAGCCAACGGCTTGGCGAACAGTCTTGCAAAGGTATACTAATGAGCTCAGACCTTATCTATCTTGGAAAGCTGCCTGGTAAATATTTGCACACGCAGTGCTGACAGGGAAGGGCTGGGTTACATAGATAAAGCTGATCTTCACAAGGCTGGAACGAACAAATGAACAGAATGAGTTGTTTCCTGCAAAAAACCCTCCCTTTTTGCTCCTCTTTTAATCCTGCTGGGAGCGGCCATTCAGCATCCACCTGTAGCCTTACTCCCAAGTCAACCCTGAATTCTTAACTGTTTCTTCCTTTTAGCAGCTCTGCGCATGCACAGGCTGGGAACCAGTTCCAGAAGCTCCCCCACCTCACTGCTGTCTGAGCCCGAAGGCAGCTGATGACTGCCAGCCTGCCCTGGCCCCATCTCTGCCTCTGACACAGAGCCCTCATCCAAGCCTTCCTCAGCCTCCAGGACTGGCCCAGGTTCATCCCCAACCTCTGCCAGTGGGCCACAACACTAGTGATGATCCAGATTTTTATAGCCCCAATTTGGTTGCACTGATACAATAAATATTAGTAGATACTGGTCCACTACTGCACTGTGAAGGAGGGTTGGAGGAATAAATTGCCTTAAAAACGTTACTGTTTATGGAACCCTATCTCACTTTACAAGTCTGCCTTTCTGACGTATTTCAACTTGAAGTTTCTGTGAAACAGAAACTACAAAATACAGGGTTATCTTTTTACAATACAGGTAGTCCTTGACTTACGACCACAATTGAGCCCAGAACTTATGTTGCTAAGTGAGCAATTTGTCAAGCAAATTTTGTCCCATTTTACGACTTTTCTTGCCACATTTGTTAAGTGAATCACTGCAGTTGTTAAATTAGTAACCCAGTTGTTAAGTGAATCTGGTCTCCCCATAGATCTTGCTTGTCAGAAGGTTGCAAAAGCTAATCACATGACCCCGGGACACTGCAACCGTCATAAATATGATGCAGTTGTCAAGCATCTGAATGTAAATCACGTGACCGTAGGAATGCTTCAATGGTCATAAGTGTGAAAAATTGTCATAAATCATTTTTTTCATGCTGTTGTAACTTTGAATGGCCACTAAGTGAACTGTTGTAAGTTGAGGACTACCTGTATATAACCTAGAACATTGTTCTAATTCATTCTTCTGCTTTCACAGGTTTGCTTCTTTTTGGCTATCTGCTAGTTTTTCATTTTATTGAGCAACCCATGCAACTACACATTGTAAGCTCCCAGGAGTGGGATTTCTTGAGGTGGGGGGTGTATTCATACACATAAGACTGCCTACACAAATAAAAATGTGTAATGATTATTGCATTTATGGAATTTCTAAAGCACCAAAGCATGCAACATTAATTGAAGATACTTACACTGTGAACACCCAAAGCCTTCCAGATAGCAAAGCTGATCAATGCAACTCCACTCCAGGCATAGAGTGAACCCCATCCAAGGGCTCGTAAGGCAAGGGAAGAGCCACTTTCTGGTAAAGATGCTGTGGAAATTACACCCTAGAATAATATATTTTTTTACGTGAAGGAAAACACATTACTGTGTGCACACATAAACAAAAAGCACTGAGGAAATCATATAATGATATTAACTTTGCCTATGATTGTGTAAAGGCTCTTAATTTCTCCAAATACTAATACCATTAAAAATTATGGTTGCAGGAAAGAAACATATTTGTCCTTCCTCTAAAGCAGTGGTGTAAAATTCAAGGCCCGCAGGCCGCATCTGGCCTGCGGGATGCTTAGATCTGGCCTGCAGGGCCGCCCTAGAAACAGCGGACTGGCCCGTGGTGCCTCTGCCAGTGAAAATGGAGCCTGGGGGGACCCACCTGGGCCACCACAGGTGTCCCAGACATGAGTGACATTGAGCTGGCCACGCCTATCCTGGCCATACCCACCTAGCCATGCCCCAAGTTCAAACACAACCCTGATGCAGCCCTCAATATAATCAAGTTTGACACCCCTGCTCTAAGTATCTTCCATTAAAGATCTGTTAATACACGCAGGGCCATTAAAGCATATAAATGTGTAGGTGTTTATGGGAGATTCTCAGTCATCCAGGTCATGGTTGTCTCAAAGGTGCTTTTTCAAAAGGCATCTGGACTTTCTTTGTTTTTCCTTGAAGATGTTTCACTTCTCATCTAAGAAGCTTCATTGGTTCTCACAAATAATAATTAAGCTTAGATGAGAAGTGAAACATCTTCAAAGAAAAACAAAGAAAGTCCAGTTGCGTTTTGAAAAAGCACCTTTGAGGCTATCCACATGTAAGTTTCCAATTTTTTTCACAGGACTATTAACAAACTAATAAATTAATAAATGTTTTAAAGATAGATAAAAATGGGTCACCATTCATAAATGTATGATTCATGAATGTTTTTATTCTCAGCATATTTTTCAACAACTACATAACACACAATTGATTTTGTTTTGTGTAGGATAAGAATTTGGAGATGATACATCAAAGGAATTTTTCAATTTTTTATCATGAAAAGAAATATGAAATATGGTATGGGAATTTCTACAAAAATGAATGCCCCAGAAGAACGATAATGGAAAACTGCTGACTTGGGCTTATTAGCTCAGGAATGTCTGCTCATGAGAGAACTCCTTGAGGGGATAAAATACTCAGATAACTGTGTCATTCATAGTAAAATGCTGTCATATGATGTATACAAAAGCTACTTAGAACCTCAAGACAAGTGTTGAAAACAAATGACTGGAACAAGACATTTTGGACTTTTCCCTAGTGGTATAGAAAAGATCTCATTGATAAAAGAAGGAAGGAGCCACTATTTTAAAAGAATTTTGATCACATGCTTGTTATTGTTTGCCTGTGGGGATTTAAAAAAAAATCAACTCAGGGAACTTCTGTTCTTCATATAAGAACATCACCATTAGTCCTAGCAGACTACTTGACCTTCTCCCGCTCCCAAATATGTATATTTAGTAACATTACTTTGAAAGCTTGTTTTGCTCAATGATGGCAAGTCGTGGGCAGAAATATTATGGGAACAAAATCTAACTTTACTTTCTTATGTAGCTATTCTAGGCTACCAGTTTCATATCTCTAAGAGAACTATTTTGAAGATTAGAAAGTGCATTTTATTACAGCTTAAGGTTCTGTAATTATGGTTCTTTATTCACCTAAATAATATAAAGTCCACTGTTATTCACAAAGAAATTTTATCAATTAACAGAAATAAAAATTAGTTGAATAAGCAACATGGCACATCATGTTTTCATGCCTTATACCAGTTTTATTAAACAAATTATTGTTATGAATACCTACATAACAAAGACTTTATACTAACTAGTTCAGTACATTGGATCTACTTAAGTCTGGTCTGAGTATTAAGTTGAATTACTTTTGACACATTTGTGAAATATTTAAAACCACCCTAAAATTAGTAGTTGTTTCAAGATATAATTCTGTAGTGTTGTAGGCAATTTGCTTCCCATTTTTAAGAATTCATGCCTCACCTACTTACACCTGCCTAACAGGTCTATGCAGCTTTTTATCCCCATCCTATAGCACAACATGGACTCCTTTGTCATACAATTAAGACAAAAGACCACAAAATGAAATAGGAGTATGGAAGGCCATGCTCTATGGAAGAGTATGGAAGTATGGTAAGCTGTTCGTTTTATTTCTCTTTTGCATGGAAATAGGGGAGAGGAGGAATCTTTCTTTCTCCAAGATTATAAAATTCGAGGAAGGATAATTATTCCTTGCTCACTTTCTGTTCTGCAAGATGGATCAATAATCTTCAGACATTTTGAGGAATTGAGTGGAAATAGCAGAAGTGCTCAACATCAAGAAGCAGCTAGGCAATTTGTTAATTGATGAAATGGACAAGCCATCTTTCAGTTAAAACTAGCTTAGATCATTTAATATAGGAGAACACTTTCAACAGGTCTACTGGGGAAACGTATACCACCCTGGACAAAGGGTTGCCTGATCTTTTCTTCAAGACCTTCAGGGATGCAGCACTTGCAATGCTGATAGCAAGCTGTTTCACTGGTTAACAACCATTCTTACTGTCAGGAAATTCATCCTTAGTTCCAGGTTGGATCTTCCTCTGACAAACTTCCACTTATTGCTTCTTTTCCTGCCCACAAGTGCTATGGAGAATAAATCAACACCCTCTTCCCAATGGTAGCCCTTCAAGTATTGGACGAATGCTATCACATTTCTTCTGAGTCTTCTCTTTGTTAAGTTAAGCATATGTAGTTCCCTTAGTTATTCATCATATGATTTAGCCTCTAGTCTCCTTATCATCTTTGTTACTCTTCTCTGCCCTCTTTCGAGCATCTTTTTTGAATCGCGGTGGCCAAAACTGGGCACAGTTACAGTTAAGGAAAAATGTAACCATGTAAAAACAATTCTTTGCTTAAAGTTTTTATTTCTTTATTGATATTATTTAAAAAGCATCATTCCTACAGGACCATTGGTGGTAATAATCATGAAAGGCTTGTAGTAGGGTGGGAAGAAAAGGCAGAATTTCTGCTTTGGTTTGGAATTCAGAATTTTGTATAATTTCACTGTATCTTCGCCATCTGAATCTGAAATCATCTTTTTCAATGGCAAACCTGATTGGTTTTAAGCAGAGCTTGGTGAATTGGAAGTTATAGGGCATGTGGCACTGATATTCTTATAAAAAAATAGGTTTCTATGAACCAGTTCAGTGTCTGGGCAGGAAACTTTCTCAGACCTTTTTATACATGGTCTCATGGTGGAAAAAAAATAGGATATAAATTTAGTAAATTTTAAATCTATGTTAAAATGACATCAGTGATATTAGGATCGCATTTTTGGAATGATATTTGAATTCCATCTGATAATAAAACAATCACTGTTTTATTTATCATGTTTAATCTCACGAAGACCTATATTCCACTCATAAAACAGAGTTCAACAAAATGCCTGCTAGTTCAATGTTTAAGAGACTGTAACTTTAGACTTAACCTTGTTCCATTTATTTTAGTTTTCATTTTTACCCACATTTTCTTTGTGAATTTTAAATTGTTCGCATAGCAGACACCTACCTACAGTAACTCAAATAGCATTGCATCTTATTATATAACATATTGCATAATATATGTATATTGCATCACTATTATTCCATTATGACACACTTTTGAAATACCAGAACAGCACAAGAAGTTTAAATAAACAAACCTTATTGAACCAATTGGGACTTTTCTTTTTTGTAACAGCAAGTGTCATACCAAAACCTGCTAGCATTCCTGCGGTAGCGATGGAAGCAAGAAAAACCCCACCTGCCAAAGATAGAAAGCAAGGAAAGATTAAATTATCAGTTCTATTTTATAGTATCATGAAAAAAGGATATCCATAAATCTCTATTTGAAACTCAAAACCCTTTGAGTGCTGACTAGAGGGAAAATGGGTTTTGGTAGAAGTTACCGTGAACGTCCTTTCTATCTATGCTATGAGAGAGCCCAGGATAGGATGGGTTGACTCCTTCCTATGATGTCATAGCTGAGTCTGTACTAAGATATAAAAGCCAGCCCCCTGGAGAGACCCCAGCTTTGGCGAAGACACTTGACAGACTGAAAGGTGTCTCTGAAAGCCCAAAATAAATACAGAAATATGTCTTACCCTCTCCAGACGAATCAAGGGAGGGGCTGGGCTCTCTCGCAGCATAGATAGAAAGGGTGTTTACGGTAACTTCTACCAATGCCCATTCTCCTCGATGCTGCATCGAGAGCCCAGGATGGGACATACCAAAACTTGCATGTCCACGGGCAGGTCCTCATCCGGCTCATCACACCGACTGTGGAACCACTCGTTGAAGCACACGTCTGCCAAAGGCTGCAGTCGCCGAGGCAAAAGCATCCAGATGGTAGTGTTTGATGAAAGGAGATGGGGATGTCCATGTGGCCATACGACAAATCTCCTCCAAGGATGCTTGGGACGCCCAGGCAGCAGAAGTGGCCGCGCTTCTGGTAGAGTGCGCCATCAGACCTCGGGGAACCGGAAGGGCCGCAGCTTTGTAGGCCTGCTCAATGCAAGACCTGACCCACCTGCTAATAGTAGGAGAAGAGGCCTTGTGCCCCAAGTGAGAAGGGAAAAAGGGAACAAACATGGCTTTCGACTTCCTGAAGGAGGAAGTGCACTTAATGTATAATCTAAGAGCTCTTCTTACGTCTAGCGTGTGCTACTGCTGCTCTAAGTCATGGTGCGGGAGAGGACAGAAGTCAGGCAACACGATGTCCTGGGACCTGTGAAACCAGGTGTTAACCTTCGGAATAAATGAGGGGTCCAGACGAAGAACAACCCTATCATCGTGAAAAGGAACAAAGGTCCTGTCTGATGGAAAGAGCAGCAAGCTCGGAAACCCTCCTGGCAGATGTGATGGCAACAAGGAACACTACCTTCAGAGTCAGGAAACGGAGAGACACTGTTCTAAGGGGTTGAAAGGGGGCCTTTGTAAGGGCATTAAGGACCAAATGAAGGTCCCAGGAAGGATACCTGTGAACCACCAGAGGGTGCAGGTTGGAAGCCCCTTTCAAAAACCTCCTGACTGAAGTGTGATGGGATAAGGAAGGAAGCGAACCCCATGAAAGGACTGAGGAGAGGGCCTCAACCTGCCTGCGTAAAGTGCTGGGGGCCAAACTATTCTCCAGCCCATGCTGAAGGAAGCTAAGAACTTCTGCCAACTGGGCTGAAGCAGGAGAAAGACCCTCCCTGAGGCACCAGCGGGAAAAAGCCTTCCAGGTGGCATCATAGATGTGTCTCGTAGAAGGTTTGCGAGACACCAGGATAGTGAGGATGACCCTTTCTGGGAAGATCAGCCTCCTCTAGCCACTGCTGCTCAAGTGCCACACGGTCAGCTTGAACCACTGGGGCTCTGGGTGGAGCAGGGCCCCCTGGTGAAGGGACATTAGATGGGCAGGGATCCTCCAAGGAGAAGCCACCGATAGGTTTACCAGGTCCGCAAACCAGGGCCTCCTTGGCCAATAGGGTGCCAGGAGGAGGAGCTCCGCATGTTCCTCCAACATCTTCCGAATTACTGCTGGAATGATGGGAAGAGGGGGAAAGGCGTAGAGGAGACCCTTGGGCCATCTGCACTGAAGAGCATTGGTCTCTCCACTCCCTGGCAAGGAAACCTGGTGAAGAATCTAGTGACTTGGGCATTTTGAGGAGTGGAGAAAAGATCCACCTCCGGTGTTCCGAATCTGAGGGAAAGATCCCTGAATAGAGACGGAGGAATGGACCATTCTGTCTGTTCAACTAGGCTCCTGCTGAGCCAGTCAGCCTGGGAGTTGTCGACCCTGGAGATGTGGTCCACCGAGATCGATAACAGGTGTTCTCTGCCCATAACCCCAACCGTAGAGCCTCTCTCATGAGGGCTTTGGACCTCATCCCCCTTGCCGGTTGACATGAGCCTTTGCGGCCATGTTGTCTGTAAGGACTAGAACATGAGAGCTGGTCACTGATTGCCTGAAATGCTTGAGAGCCAGAAAAATGGCTCTGAGCTCTAGCCAATTTATGGGAAGGGTCTATTCTGATCTAGACCAAACGCCCTGAGCTATCTGGCCCTGCATATGGGAACTCCAACCCATGAGGCTGGCATCGGTGGTTATCACTAGCCTGTCTGGGTCCCTGAACAGGAGTCCCCTCCAGATAGATGGGGAATGCCACCAATTGAGAGATCTCCGGATTTGTGGCAGGAGTGGGACCTTGATGAATGGCTGGTTCCTGCTCGTTGGCAGGGAAGCAGGAACCATTGGAGGGCTCAGGAGTGGAGCCGAGCCCACGGGACGATGCCAAGTACAGGAAATCATCTTCCCCAGAAGTTTGGACAGCAGCGACAGGGGGACAATTTGATGTTGCTGGATCTGGCTGATGATCTCTGCAAGGCTCTTTCCACGAGCTGGGGACAGGAAAACCTGGCACGACATGGTATTGATGAATGCTCCCAAGTGTTGCAATTTAGTTGTGGGAGAGAGCTGGCTCTTTTTGGTGTTGATGGAAAATCCGTGGCTCTGGAGACATGACAGGGTAATTAGCAGGTCCCGATGGGCCGCAAGGATGGAAGAGGAAGCGTCAAAATGTCGTCCAAATAGCATTGGATCCTCACTGGAATAGAACACAGAGATGCCATCAATGCTGCCACAACCTTTGTGAAGACCCTTGGAGCCGATGAGAGGCCGAAGGGAAGTGCTCGATACTGGTAATGGGTATTCTGATAACAGAAACGGAGAAACTGGCAATGATGAGGCCAAATTGGGATGTGGAGGTAAGCCTCAGTGAGATCAATGGAAGAGAGGAGGTCGCCCTCCCGAACGCTCTCTAAAATATAATGCAGAGTCTGCATTTTAAATCGCCTGTATTTTACAAATTGGTTGAGAAATTTTAGATCAAGGATGGCTCGCCACCCCCCTGAGGCTTTGGAAACAATGAAAAGGCGAGAGTAAAGTCCACGTCCCCGTTGAGACAGGGGAACAGGTTGAATAGCCCTGATTTCAAGAAGGTGCTGAATGGCCTGATTCATGAGGGTTTGCCTAGAAATGTCCCGAGACACAGGACAGATAAAAAAAAATGGGGGGTTGGGTGGGGTTAGGAAGTCCAATTGTAACCCTGACCTGATAGTGCTGAGCACCCAGGCATCCGTCGTTGACTCCTCTCATTTGGAGGCAAAGAAGGCTAGGCGACCTCCAATGGGTGGGGAGAACGAGGGATTACTTAAGAGCGACGGAAGGAACGACCCCCTCCCCCCAAAAGGGCCGTTTACCAGTAGAAGGTTGTTCCCTGCCAGATGTTTCCGCCCGTTGGTCTTGGCGTTGGGAGTATGGCCTCTGAGAGCAGGGGAAGCGAGATGAGGTCTCTGCTCGGAAGGCAGGAGGGCGATAAGGAGCAGGGCGATAGTTGGCTTTCTTCCCAGAGGAAGAGAGAATTTTACATTTATCTCTGGTTTCGATAAGATAAGGTTCCAGAGCATCGCCAAAAAGCGTATCGCCTGTGAAAGGAACTGAAGCCAGATTCCATTTTCGGCATGACTCCGCCTGCCAATTTCGGAGCCATAAAAGTCTTCTTGCTGCTACAGAAGATGCCATGGCCTTGGATGCAAATTTGGTGGAACTGAAAGTGGCATCCGCAGTGAATTCCACCGCTGCAATAATCTTATTAAGGTCTCGGTGAGACCGAAGGTCAGATGCAGGCAATCTATTCTGGAGTTGGCGCAGCCACCGTATGGATTCCCAAGTGAAAAAGGATGCTGCTGTTGAAGCCCGAACAGCCCAAGCAGCGGCCTGGTGATTGTGCTTGAGGGTCTGTTCGGAATGTTTATCATCTGGTTTCAGGATATCTTCTGGCTCCGTGGGAATGCCAGAAGATAAGAACAAGGCCAGAACCGGAATGTCAACAGAAGGCACTGCCAGGGCATTGTCCAGAGCTGCGCTGACTTTGTAGAAATGCTTATCCAGAGAAGATGGGCGAGGACCTGCTGAAGGAGAAGCGCACTGTTCCTTGACCATGTCCAGGAACAAAATGGGAGAAGGCAAAACCTCTGCATACACTACAGGCTTGGAGAAGAGCAAATCCCCTTGGCTAGAGGGATTTCCTTGTGGCTCAGGAGTCACTTCCTCTGGCGACAGCTTGGCAGTGACCAAGGCCTTGCTGAGTAATGGTCTGAAGAGAGTAGGTTTGAAGACCAATGCAGAGGATGTCTGTCCTGGGCGAGAATCCTCTTCCTCTGAAAAATTTTGGTCAAAAATCTCACCCTCTTCACACTCTGAATGAGAAGAGTAACTGTTCAGATGGTGAAGGCCTTCCTTCCTCATCAACTTCCTCCCATTCTGGTAGAGAAGAATGGATCCTGAGGTCCTGAGGCCTGTGTAAATCAGGATGATGAGGCAAAGAACTTATACATTGAGAAGGGAGAAGGGCCTGAACCCTTTCCAGAGGTTGAAGAATTTGCTTGAAGCCTTCAGCCAATCCCTGCCTAATGGCTAATGAGACTACATCTTGGATATCCCCTGGTCTGTGCTCAAAGGTAGAGGCAGAAGGCAGAAGGCCCACTGCTGTGGGAGTGAAGGTGGCTTCAGGCCTAGATTGAGGAGAGGTTCGAGGCCTGGAGGGAGGAGGAGGAGCATAGGGCACAGAAGCCTGTTGGAAATAAGGCCCAGATCTGCTTAAATCCTGAGGATCTGACTGTAAAGCAAGAGCCTCAGGAGACCAGGATGGAGGATGGAAAGGCTCATAGATAACTTCTCCTCCCCTGGTTGGGGCCCACGAGTATCACCTGAAACATGCTGTAGTTGCACTCCCTTCTGTTGAATAGTTCTGTTGAACTGCCTCTCTAGAGCTGCATGTCTGCGCTTCTCTGCCCTCAATTCAGCCTGAGTTGCCTTCTTAGGGGCTAGAGCCTTAGCTTTGATTTTAGCAGCCACCTCCCTCTGGACTGATTGGGTGCGTTGCCTATGTCTTTTTCTCCTATTGGGCTTAAGAGACTGTTCCACTGGGGGGGGGGGGGGGGGAGCTCTGCCTGAGCCTTATCTTGCTCCATTTGTAAAATAAAGACTCTTGGTTGGAAAGAAGCTGTTTAGAAATTTTTCTATTAAGCCCTTTAGGGTATAAATGGCCCCCAGGCTTACAAAATGGCTGCTCACCTCATGGTGGAAGGCTTGAATTCAAGATGGCCACTGACTACAGGAAAACAGGTTCCAAGATTGAAGAATTGCTCCTTAGGCTATACAGAGCCCCAAGCGAAGTCAGCAAGGGAAAAATACAGCAACCAGCCACACAATCCGCTGGCTTGAGCTCTTATCAGTTTGCCGATCGTTTTTACGATCGCTCCAAACTGCAGGCGTGGGGGAGGTCGGCAGATGCTGCCCAGCTTGCCTGCACAGAGCTCTGTAACGCTGCTCCCAACGTTGCAGCAGAGAGAGCCCTGCTCTCCTGGAAGAGCAGCTGCCCAGATCCCTGGGAGCTGCTTGAAGCGAAGATAAAAGGTACTGAAGATCGCTGTTGAGTGCTCTCTAACAGAACACTTTCAGAGACACAGCTACTGACTGAAAGGAGCTGAATCAAAAGCTGGGGTCTCTCCCGGGGGCTGGCTTTTATATCTTAGTACAGACTCAGCTATGACATCATAGGAAGGACCCAACCCATCCTATCTTGGGCTCTCGATGCAGCATGGAGGAGAACTATCAAACTGTCACAATTGCCAAATATGCACAATAGCTTATTTATTATCAACACACAGGATAAAACCAACAGAACTAAAGTATATAAAACAATTGGAATTGTTATTCCAAATGTTAGGAATAGCCAACACTCCAGAAGGTAGGCTATAGATATACAAGAATCTTGACAGACTTGAACATTGGGCCCTATCTAACACAATGTAATTAAATGATGAAAAAAGTAAGGTTCTACATTTGGGCAAGAAAAATCAAATGTATAGGTATAATATAGGTGGCACCTGGCTCAATAGTAGTAATTGTGAGAGGGATCTTGAGAGTCCTAGTGGACAATTACTTAAATATGAGCCAGCAGTGTGCTGCAGATGCCAAAAAAAGCAGACTGTTGCTGCATTAACAGAGGACAGAACAGAGGGATAGAATCAAGATCATGTGAAGTGGTAATGGTAAGATCACACTTAGAATATTGCATCCAATGTTTGTTGCCACGATGTAAAAAAAGATGTTGAGACCCTAGAGAGAGTGCAAAGATGAGCAACAAAGATAATTAGGGTCTGAAGGCTAAAACACATGAAGAATGATTGCTGGAATTGGGTATGGCTAATAGAAAGAAGGATTAGGGGTGACATGATAGCAGTGTTCCAATAGCTAAGGGATTACCATAAAGAAGAGGGAGTCAAGCTATTCTCGAAAGTACTGGAAGGCAGGACAGAAAACAATGGATGGAAACTAATCAAGGAGAGAAGCAACCTAGAATTAAGGAGAAATTTCCTGACAGTGAAACAATATGCCTCCAGAAGTTATGGATGTGCCAACACTGGAAGTTTTCAAGAAGAGATTGGACAACCATTTGTCTGAAATACGGTTTCCTGTCTGAGCAGGAACCCTGTTATTCTGTTAACGAGCACGTGGCATTTTAAATCTCCAGATTTTTGGGGAGATTATGTAAAGTGACTGTCCCAGGTATGCTCCTGGTACAAATTCTAAGTGCAGAAGTGTGAATTTGGAATGAATTTGACTTCTTACATTTATAATAAACAATTTTTCTCTGAGAAGATTAGTAAGAAATAGTTAAATAATAACCTACTACACTTTCCTACACATTACGACCACTAGTTTCTTTCTCTGAAGGAAATACCATCAGCTTATAAGACTGCCACTGAACAGCTGAGACTGCAATTTGGGTGTCTTTATATCAGAATAATTATTTTGGGATCTTTCTTATTTTATGAAAGCAGCCTGTCTTTAGAAAAGAAGTATACACGGATTTCACTAAGTTCACCCATGAAAATGTACTACTGCAGAATCAACAGTCTGCTTGTGATTAAAGAGTCATCCAAAGGAAAAATCTGCCCAACTTTTTACTGGGCCTACATCCAGACTGTAAAAGATCTTACCAGTATTTGCATATCCATAATATGGTTACACGCACAAAACAAAATTGCTACACAAAAAGCATCTATGTTTCAAAGAAAGTGTTCCATCATACCTTCCAAAATGAAGATTAGGTTTTATTTTTAATTTTACTTGTGTCTCTATTTTTCACACTGTGAACCTAATTATTGTTTGTTTATTTTGGTCAATTAAGCTAATACAGATTTATCTAGTTTTGAGCTTCTCAAAGCAGAGAGTTTGTCCTTCGTAATTCAATTAAATGCCACATGTTCAAAATAATATTCATGCGTAGGAATAAATCAATACCCAATTAAATCAGATGCACTCTTTTTCATGGATAAAAATGGTCTCATTAATATTGCAAACATGACGCACATTAAATAATTTAATGATTTAATGATATAAAATAAGCTTCCAAACTATTCACGTATTTTCTTCTCCAGCTAGTTTTTAAGAAGGTAAACTGAAGCTTGATAACTTTCCCTCAACTTTCGAAATCTCTGAAGTCAAAGAGGGAAGTTTTCAAAATCAAAATAGAATACTTGGAGGGTTCTAGGTTCAGGGAGCTTCGTAAAATATCTGAACTATTAAATCCACCTATAATATCAATTATGAAAAGGTTTCAGTTCCAGCATCACATTTTAAATTTCCTTTTTTATCACATTAAGATGAACTTTACACTAATAAAACCAGCATTCCTCCTATGTACCAAAGGTGCTTTTCCAAGAGGCAACTGGACTTTCTGGTTAACCTCTTGAAAAAAAACACCTTTGGGACAATCATGACCTGAATGACTGAGAATCTCCTAGATATTTAAACATCCTATGGTCTTCCGGGAACCGGAGCAGGACGTCTGAGCTATCTCAATATCTGGGTCTTACTGAAACTGATTTTAATGGCAAGAAATCAGGTTCCGTGTGAGATAAGGTTGAATCCTTCAAGCACGTGCAGCAGTGAAGAAGCGGGACGCTTGCTGGGCAAAAACTGCTCCTTGACGATACTTCAACACGACTTCGCCTAATTCCCGCCCGCTCCAGAGGTTTAGAGGTGCGTTTCAAAAACTCAGGAAGACCCCCTTCCATTCAGCAACCTCGCGTCCCCAGAATGTCCCCTTTTTCACGTGTTTGCAACTTAGCCGCTGGCAGCAAACGACCTTTGATTACGAAACGTCGCTGTCGCCGCTCGTCTTCTGTCGGGGTCGTGTCGAGATCAGGGCTCCCCGAAGCCTGAAGCGTTCGCGTTTCGGAGACCCCCAAAAGGGGATCCCGCGTATCTGCTTCTTGGGCAAGAGGCCCCATGCTCGGAGGAACTCCAGGGCCTGGCTGGGAGGGAAGCATCCGAGCCTCCCCTCCACAGCTACCCGGATGGAGATTCGGCGGGAGGCGGACTCGCGTCTTTTGTGCTGCCGGGATCAGCGGCGGAAACAATCGGAGCGATTGCAGCACGTCGGCGTTGTTGTGGCTGCTTTTTGCCGTGCAGATGGTGGAAGCATCCTCGAAGTTTTGGCTGTGGTTTGTTAGGTTTTGCGTTGCTGGAAGGGTAGAGGATAAATTCCAATGGCATTAGAGGGCCTTACTCCAAGTGCTTTAAGTGATATAGAATAAGACATTCCTGAAACCAGTAAGCTTTAGAAGGAGATCCTCCGAAATCCATGGGTGGGCTGGAAAAAAAAGCGCCTTTTTAATAAAAAAAAATGTATTAAATATCTCGGGATAAGTAGCACCACTTTTTAAAGCACTGATCCTCCTGCAGTAATTATACCAACAGTAACAACAATATTTTTTTAAAAAAATAAGTGAATTACCTTGGATGAACCAAATGATCAATACAAAAGTGCTTGAGATCAATTTCTGAGTCTGGATGGGTATACAAGGTTTTTAAGACAGGCAAGGCCAGTCCACCATGCTCTTTTTATGTGTTAATTTCTAGGAAGGTATGCATTATGAATGCAGTACAAAAGGACAAGGGATAGTCAGTATAAGGAGCTTCCCCATCACCCCCCCTTGGTTGAAGGGGAAGAAGATACTCAAGGCTCAGGCATTTTTACAAGTTCTTCTTTGTGAACGTAAGCCAGATTGTGATTGCACTTCCATAATCTATTAAGATGAACAGGTTATCCCTAAATCCTGAGGGACCTTGTAGTTGGAGGTAAAGGCACAAAGAAGTCACATACACATCCCTTTAGTTTCTAGGGGTGAAGGAGTTCTGATCTGAAAAAACAAAGCTTACAAACACTTTCTGTGAAACAGTTGAGGTTTTTTTTTCATTTTATTTGTAATATATCCAGGACAGAAAACTTAGTTTCTCTGAGAGATTGCTTACTTCTGTCAGTCCTGCTAGGTTGGCCAGGAAGTCAACTCCACAGGAAAATTAAAACTATTATTGAGATTTGCTATGATATACGATCTTAGAAGTCTGACTGTGCTACACTTTCTCTCCCTTCTTGTTCTGTAATGAAACTAGTCAGGTGCCTGCTTGAGCTAAATGTTATCTTGTACAGTATTGTGGACTTAAAAAAATAACAGTCCCTTTTGCCTAGATAAGAATTATTTAATTACTATCATGAGCAGGATGAGTCTACAGACAATTTCACAAAAATCAAAGCAAGTTGTTTTCTTTTTAACTGCTGATGAGGCAAAGGAGACTCAGAAATTCACTAGCCATGTCAGATTGCATCATCTTAGCTATTAAATCAAGACTTCTAGTAATGTTATTGCTTCTGAATATAATCAGTAATTAATTAATCAAATCCTGCAATTAATGTGCAGACATGTGATATTCTAAATCAGATAGACTTTGATTTTGTCTAAATCTCTTTAGTAAAGTGCTTCTGAAACATAAAGTAAGATCAGATTATGTATCACAGTCAGATTGTGATGTGGCTCATGCTTCTTTGCTTCCTTTGATAAACTGCAAGGTCACAGGGATCATAAGAAAAAATTCTGTGTAAAATTATAACTATAAAGATTATTGCAGAAGAAGAATACAGTGAAAAGACAACCTTAAAAAAGAGAATCTACTATGTCTCCCACACCCCAATTTCAAAGCTATTCCTGAAATCAACAAAGGAAACAGTATGGTCCCAAAATTGACTTTTAAAGTTAACGATGTTTCTTCGTTTGTGATCACACAATCTCTGCATACAAACAACAATTTACAGATAACTTTCATGATTTAAATGAAGTCAACACATTCCATCCAAAGTGCTACTACTACCTTAATTTCAAGAAATCCTAAGTATTTGGAACACATTACATTGGTTATATGGATGTATTTGAAGTGGATTGATTTCCTGAAATTCTAATGTGAGCATGACTGATGAATTATCAGTTGATCTTGACTCTTAGTGACCATATAGATTTCTCCATGACAATTGGTCCATAACCTGAGAATTGAATGACTCAGTATTTTTGTACTAAGAGGTATTTTAGACTAAATTCTGGGATTAGTATTTTCAACTAGCTGCAACAGTACAATAATACTTTATCTGATGTCACTCATCTGATAACTTTCCAAATGTCCACACTAAATAATTTTTGTTTGGGGGTGAATAGAATAGCAAATATAATGTCTATTTTCTTTTACAAGTGCTTTACGATCATCACACTACTGGATTAGAATTGAGCCCCTTTGCCTCTGTGTAGTTTCTCTCTAATTTTTTACGTTATTAAGAAGTTGTTGTGACTGCATATTTGCTACGCAGTCCTATACCTGAATCATTCTCAAGAGTGTTTACCTTATTGCTGTATTCCATGTGAGTCTAGCCCAGGGCATTCTGGGTTATTTTCTTCATTCCTTTCATCTTCATCCTTTGGCTCATTAATACAGGTAGTTCTTGGGATAAAATCCTCTGTTTTTCTCTGTCATATATGTGTCTGTATGTGGGCATATGCATAATCAAGAGTTTTGAGAGATGAATGCAACGAAATTTCACTTTAATGTATGCTGATTACTTTTAAATAAAAGATTCTGTTCTGTTCTATTCCATTCCATTCATTTTTAATAGTGTTTTCTCTCTGCCCTCAACATTATTTTTGCTGGGTATATGAGCCGTTTTAATCCCCCTTTTGGTTATTGATGTAGTCAGGGTTGTGATCTGCCCAGCTGCTATTTTCCCCTTTAGAATCATGGACATGAACAGTTACCAAGTGCTGTCCTCTGTGACCATTTTGTCTTGAACTCCAGGAGAGACAAGAAACATGATTTCTGTATAGGATTATGCCCACAAAATGCCTGAATGGCACTTGACCTATTTTTTTAGTTCAGTGCTCTTTTGAACAAGTGCTAGTCTGTGCTGTTGCAAAGATTGAGATGACTTCAGGGAAGGAATGCTATTCAAGGATTTTCTCTGTGGCGTACGATGGAAGCAAAAATTGGATTGTGAAGAAACAGGCTAGAAAGAGTATTGATGCTTTTGAACTTTGGAGTTGGAAAAACCTGGGAGTAGCATGGACAGCCAAGAAAACAAACAAATGGATATTTGAATAAATCAACTCAGAATTCTCACATGAGGGATAAATGATCAGACTCAAATTATCCAATTAGGCCACATTTTACACAAAGACCAATTACTCAGTGGGTAAAAAAACTCTGAACTTATCAACTAGAAAGCTGACAGCCCGGGTTCGAGACCCCAGCACCATACAATGGGGTGAGCTATTACCTGCAACAGCTCCTTCCCACTTAGCAGTTCAAAAGCATGTGAGTAGAAAAATAGGTACCATTTTGGTGGGAAGGTAGCAACGTTTCACGTGCCTAAGTGTATAGTCATGCTGGCCACGTAACCATGGAAACATCTTCGGACAACACTGGCTCCCTTGGCTAAGAAACAGAGATGAGCACTGCCCCTTAGAGTTGGACACGAGTAGACAGGGGTAAGGTTATCTTTACCTTTACACAATTTTTGGAAAAGACTCTAATGCTAGAAAAGAATGAAAGAAAGAAAAGAATAGGATGACTAGCAATGGGGTGGATAGCCTCGGTTTCAATAATAATAAGTGCAATGTTGCAAAACCTAAAAGAACAGGTTGGAAACAGATTATCCTAAAGAAAATTTCTATGATTGCTAAGAATTGAACTGATCTGATGTGCATAATCAAATAATCATAACTCTACCCTGAAAGATTCCTACATGAGCCTGTACAGCTTTCAAAATCGCTCCAAGAGTCCTGGTCTCTCATTGCTGTTAAACTTCCAAAGGGTGATTTAAATAAGAATCGCATAAAGTTCATTATGCAATTTAGAGCTGAAAGGAGGAATGTAGTCTGATGAGTCTGATTTTAAATGGACATTTGCTGTACAGATCTCCAATTTATTGCTAATCAGCCTGAGATTTTTGAAAAAGGTACACATGCTAGAAATCATTGCCTAAAATGTATAAGTAAATAAATTATGCAGTAATTCTTTCCATCAGACTTATCTGTTCTTATGTAGAAACCATTATGTACATTTTCCTTCTTTAGCAAGCCTATCTTTAGTTTCCCAGAACCATTTCTGCTGCCCTGGCTGAAGGTTTCTAGTAAACATTTCATGCTGGCATTGATCAGTGGTTTTATAGCATCATAAATACACATAATGCTTTATCTAATTAAGAGATAAACTGCCTGCAGTAATGTACTTGCTTAGATGGAGTCATCCTATAGCGTTTACATTTGTTAGGGTCTATTCTCACTTGGCATCTAAAGCAATACAGTTCAGAAAAAAAGATGTATAATTCAGTGACAATTTTGTATACAATACTGCCTAAGTTCATTTATGTTATCTTTCAGTGGTTCTCAACCTTTTCTTCACCACTGACCCCCTTTAAATACCTTTGTGGCCACCTATCATGGCCATGGACCCACATAACTTAATTCAAAATTTAAATCATAACATTTATTCAAATCTTTGCAGACCCTCTGTGATGACACCCTTACTAGGGTCCGTGGAGCATAGGTTGAGAATTAACTGTTATATTTGATATAACATATTTCTTCCAGACAGCTCAGAGCAGAGGTGATATTCAGCAGGTTCTGACCAGTTCTGGACAACCAGTAGCAGAAATTTTGAGTAGTTCAGAGAACCAGCAAATACCACCTCTGACTGGAGATTTTACAGTATCCTTCCCTTGCCTCGTCCACCAAGCCACGCCCACAGAACCGGTAGTAAAAAAATTGGAATCCCACCACTGGCTCAGAGCACCTCGGACCTGGCTCCTTCTGTATTCATTTTGTCCACCTAACAACCTTATGAGATCGATTAGCTGAGGAAAGGTTATTTTTAGTTGATTTATACCCCACTTTTAAACTAAGAGCTAAAGTTTTAATCTCTCTGCCTCCTTTTCTCCCCCCACAGCAATAATCCAATGAGGGAGGTT